TTTGTACGGTCAAGATTTCTAAGTATAGCCTGATCACTCACATTGAGATACATATATATGTAATTCATGGAACTTTTGTTAGTTAATCTAGCTAGGTATTGTAAGGAAAAAAAAAAGAAAAAGTTCTAGGTGTTTGTAGAATTAGGTCAAGCTCCTTTTAATTCAAATTTACTGTAAACGTAGGTGATTGTAAAATTAGGTCAAATTTTAGTACAATATTTCAAGAGGAATATTTTATATGGTGAAGGTATGTATCAAATAATAGATGCTTTGATTTGTTGGAGGCCATATATATATATATATATTTTGTAGTTGTATAATTTTTTTCATTACAATTTTGGAGGACTTTTTAGAAATCTGTTCGCATTTGTAATTGCTAACTAGCTACAAACTTGTTATGTGGACTCTCCTGTTGTACTAAACATGCCTTGCTGGTTTTTTTAATGATGATTATGGTATGGAATATATCCTAGAAAATAACTTTAAATTTTTTTATTTTTATTTTACTCAAGATTTCTCTAGTGGAGAATAACACAGGCATTGAGGTTTGTTATGTATGTAAATTAATTTGTGGACTTTTCATTCATGCTGGCGATGAGTTGTGTCTGTGTTCCGTAAATATTGGAGTAGTTTTTTTCTTTTCTTTTCTTTTCTTTTATTATAAGAAGAAAATTTCAAAATTCAGACGAAATTTACCACCTAGCATTGCCCTTGAAATATAATCCCGTCTGTACTGTACATACCACTTTCTCTCGCTAGACTACTTTTTTTCTCTCTCTCCCCCTCTGTGGAAACTCCTCCATGGCGTTTTCTCGCTTCCCTCCTAGCCGAGTCACCTCTTCGAACCTCTTCTTCACCAAGTTCCTCCGTCTGAACCATCCGATTCCGGTGTTTCCTCCTTTCGCCGCCACATATCGACTCTACCACAACACGAGGTCTATTCCGGGCGTGGACTCCAACGAAGAAATATCCGGAGATCATCTCCGAAGTATGTAGTACCAAGCACTTAGAAAAAAATTCAAGTATCTCGATCTGCGATTTTTTATTTTTATTTTTTTGTTCATTTTAATTTATTGTTGCAGGTACGTTTAAAACATTCCGATTCTTGGAAAATCCGTACCAAAATCAAGTCCCAAAAGAGCCCTGTGATTTGAAGGAAGATGAAAACGCCTTGTTGGCTAGGGTTGACATGCCTGGAGTCTCCAAGGAAGGTCTGAAGCTGTGGTACGAGAACGGATCTCTGTACATCACCGGAGAGGAAGGAGAGAAAGACGATGCATTCGTACCGGAATTTAAATTCGGTCTCCCGGTATTATTTGAGCTCCCGAGTAGGTTGTTCTCCGCCAGCCTCGCCGTCTCGCCGCAAAGGTTCAAGATGGATCAGATCAAGGCAAAGCTGAACAATGACGTCGTCGTTCGCGTCGAGATTGAGTGAGTGAGTTTGGCACTATACGATTCACTGTTATTTTAGCTTGCCGGAGAGATTTTGGCTTTTAGGTTGTTCTTTGGTGGCTAGATTAGGGTTGATTTGTTCATCTTCTGGCGTTTTAATTTTTGTCTGGAATGTAGAAACAGTTAACGGAGAGCCGTCAGTGAACTTGTATTCTGTTATTGGTTAATGTTTATCCATATATCTAGCTAGTATTGTTTATATTTTTTGTTGAGTTAAAGTAAAGGCATATAATAATTTATTTATAATAAATAAGCGAATCTGCCTAACAATTTCGAAAAGAAATAGAAATTCAGTTATTTTCCTTATGTATAAATTTTGTCGCTTCCAAAATAAATTGTGTTGTTTTTTTGAAAATTTGACTTTTTAAGATAATAAATTTTAATATTTTTTATTATATTGATAGTAAGTGAATTATATAGTCAGCTCCTCCCTCTTATTTCATTAACAAATCAACTTTATATTAAATAATAAATCAACTTTATATTAAATAAGTTTGTAAAATTTATATTGGCTCCTAACAGGACACGTGGTTGGTTATTATTGACAAGTATATATTATAAAATAATCACTCAAGTTAAAGATGAATGGTCCAAAATTTTATTTAAATCTATTGTGACGCATAAATTTATTTTAAAAATAATACATAGACAATAGTTGGATATGCTCTTAGTGGTCAGACCATTTTAGTCCATTAAAATTCATTAGAAATGAATGAACACATTTGAGTAATTAATAAGCATGGGTTAAATGACTAGATGCTCTGTTCAATTACATTGTCTTATGACCTAGCTTAATTTACCCCCTTGAATAGTACTTTCCAGTGAGTAAGGTTCAAAAATTTGTTCTATTAATTACTTGAATTAATGGACAAAATATAAAAAAATTTACTTGAATGAATAGAATGTATGTTTGGTAACTGTTTTTGTTTATTATTTATTATTTAAGTCTAAACATAACGAGTGTATATGTGTACTTTTTTGTTTATCGATAAATGCATATATTGTTTGATAACGTAAAAATACTTGTCTTGTTTTAAAAACAATAAACAAAAAAAATATGTTTGTTAAACTTAAACTGTTTTTAAAAAATTCAACACCAATTTTAAACAAATAATAAAAAGTATCTATGAAGTGGCAAATTATCCCCTAACAAGGTTGCTCACAACCTTAGCAAATGGGGTGCTCATCAAAAAATTATTGATCCTCAGTATAATGTGGTCCTCTTGATTGTCTAAACCTATAGAGAATGATGTAAAATAAATAAATAAACTATAAATATAAATACATAATCATAAACGTGGTTTTTTATAAAATTGATCCGTGTGAACAGTAATTATATTAGTGAATTTATATAATCGATAAACATAAATAATATTAACAAACAAGTTTTTTTTTTTAAATCTGTTTATATAAATAATAAATTATAAACATAAATAGTTACCAAACTGGGCGTAAATTAAATGAATACATCAATTGTTTGAACATGATAATGCATTTTGAAAGAGTTGTTTTTTATTTATTTTATTTGAATCATTCATCTTTTAAAAAAGTGAATTAGGCACAAGACAATACCCAATAGTTTCATAAATCCATCACCTAATTCAAACAGAAGCCGAACATGAGCACCATTTATAAACTTAAAGTCCAAATTTCAAATTTTCGGGTTGGGCTGGGTTAGCCCGCCCAAGTTAACGGCACTAAATCATTGTTTTCGGCTTCTGTTTGAATGAGGTGATGGTCTCTGGGCCGCCTATGTGTGGTTCTTTAATGTTTGGGCTTTTTAGCCCTGTTCTCCCAATTGTTTGGGCTTGTTTTGGCCGAAGGCCTTCCCTGTACATTTATTTCTATTTATATATTAGCTTCATCTTTCAAAAAAATAAAAAATAAAAATGCTTAAAAAAATAATAAAAGTTGTATTTTTCTATGCTTATCATTTGTGCACATGAGTAGGGATGTCAATTTTTACCGCCCTGCCGGGGCCCCGCCCCGTCCCGCCTCGTTAATAACGGATATGGGAACACTTGTTATACCGTTGGGGCGGACATGGATACAAATTTTGTACCCGTCGAGGGTCACGGGGCGGGTAAGGGTTCAATATACATATCCTAGGGGCCCCGCCCCGCATATAACTATATTTAATATATATATATATATATATATATATATTAATAAGTTATTTTAGCGGCTTACCCAATTACCCATCTCTTATAATCCTAATTTGGGATGTAAACTTGGTATTAAATTTGCTTTTGTTTTGGTTATGGTGGAAGTTGGAGCTTAGAACTTCTTGTGATTTGGTTGTATTAAACTTTTATTTTTGTTTATTATGTTCTCTGAATTATGTTATATGCATGTTTTTTTTTTATTTTTTATTAGGATACATAATTTTATTTATGTTGTGTCATTCTTAGGTTTTGCACATTTAAATAGCAGGAGTTTAAGTTCCAAAAAGTGGGAGAAAAAAATTTGTTAGTGGGGCGGGCACGGGGGCACAGTATTTCCTAACGGGGCGGGGTTGGATATGAAAATCCAACCCGTCGCGGGTCTCGGGGCGGACATGGACTTGACAAAAATTAAAAGGGGCGGGGCGGGATTTAGAGAAACCCGCTCCAAACCCGCCCCGTTGCCATCCCTACACATGAGTACAAATAATTTAATACATTGTTATCCATTCCAATAAATTAATACGGCTGATATTCGCTTTCCAAATATCCTTTGATGCTGTGCTGTTTTTTACTACTACTAAATTAAACTTACAAAAAATTTCAAAACCCACAATTCATATTCTTACAAATTTTTAATATTGTTATTATCCTTCTCCATTAAAGTTAGGATTCCTCTTGAAATTTCATGGCGTACCATGCTGAGTATGATACAATTAACCTAAAATTAATTATATTGTTCTTATTATTCCAGAAGCCAGTTTATAAATTCCAAAATTATAGAGAGAAATCAGACTTTCAAGCTTTCAAATGGTTTGGGCAGCCAATCATGTTGTTGCATTGGTTTCGGGCCTTACGGCTTTGGTAAATTTATTATTGTTTTTAATATTTATGTAATATGATAGATATGGTAACAGGTTTGGGTCATTTAATTATAAGAATTTAAGATTCAAAAGACTTCTAATTTTACCAGAGAAGGATAACATTGACATTACAAATATAAAAATGATGTATTGTGGGTATATTTGTTGGAGCATCATTAAAACTAGTCTAAATTAATAAGAATAATGAAGATCTATTTACTAAAGAGATATATCAATATCGCGAATTGAATTTCAGTAATATACCTATTGATTAATTTGGATGTGCAAAATTTAATTGATCTTACTTTCAATTTCTATAATAGTGTTGTTTAATTAATTTATGCTTTTAATTAATATTTTTAAGAAAAAATTGTTTTAGTGTGTTAAAATTGCATTATAACTTAGAAAAGGGTGAAGAATCATTTACCATACATATGTATTACCAATCACAAAACACATCAGACGGTCACGATCGCTTGTAAACCAACTCGGCGCCCTATGTACAGCTGTCTATGAAGAACAGAAATGTCCTGCCTCTTCCGCACTCGATCAATTTCAATCCCTCAGAAAAACCCCTAGACAGAGAAAGAGAGAGAGACTATTTACACGGTTCACATCGGTCGATGGCCTCCAGATGCCTCACCGTTGCAAAGCTCCTCCTCCGATCAAACCAGTCGCTGACCGCGGCCGCCTCTACTATCGCCGGACGTCACACCTTCAGCTCCCAGTCCTCCCGAGGAAAAGGTAACGACTCGCACTCGTCATCTCTCTCTGAATCTGTTACTGATTATTTTTTTTTTTTTGTTCGTTTCGATATATATATATATATATATAGCTGTTCAGGTGACTTTGATGGGGCGGATGGAACATCCGTTTCTGAGTCTAGGTGTGGGAGCATTGTGCAATATAAATGAATATGAACGAGAAGTGATAGTGATGGTTGACATGCCTGGAATCGGCAAAGAAGGACTGGAGATAAAGATAAAAAAGAATTCGATCCATATACGAGGGAAGGCAGAGAGAGAAATTGAAGACAAGCCCGACAAGGACGATATCCCAGAGAGGATATACGCCGGCGTCTTTGATCTTCCTCCTGGATTCTACGACGCCGACGAGATCAAGGCGTCTATCAAATTCGGTGTTCTGAAACTGGTGATTCCGAAGCTGAAGCCTTCTCGTCATCTCAATTTACCCCATATTGAGCTTCGTGGCAACCCCATCGTGCAATCCGTGTTATATGAGGACGGGATTGGAATTCAAGATATTGTAGACTTTCTCCAGAAATAAGAGTTTTGGAGACGAAAGGGGCCAAATAATAGTTGCATTGCCCCAGATTGGGTATTTTCCCTATTTGAAATTTCTTGTCAATTGCTTATAGATATATATACTATAATCATATACTGTATTTGATTATAATGCGGAGACTGTGATTTTAGCTCCGGGAAGAGTTTGGCCTTTTAGGTGGTCGTGGTGTTGAACAGTACTAGGTGGGTGAGGGTTTGTTCATGTTCTAGGGTTTTTTTAGCTGATGGTGCAACTTTTTTGAAATGTAAAAATAGTTAATTAAAATAGTTGATGTTTATTGGGTACCCTATGTCACATTATGCTATTGTTTATATTGACATCTAGTTATTTACAATTTGCTATTTATCATTTGTTAAAATGTTTATACATATATGTAGCTACGATTGTTTATTATTTTTTAATCAGTTCTTTTCCTTCTATGGTTATAATAATTTCCCAATTACTTTTGAACTTTGTGATCTGTGAAATTGGTTTTCCAAAATTGTGACACTATTGATTTGCATTTTAATTAACTTTTGGTGTTAAGGAAAAAATTTCGTATAGTACTTCTCGAAAAGGTTCCCAAAAGTCTATTCAAATTGGTTGGATAATTAAATGAAGATATCTATTGATTGAACATGATAATGCAATTTGAAGTGCTTTTATTTTTATTTTTTATGAATAACTTATTATTAATGACATTCTTCCTATTTTAATAATAAGTGAAGCAATATAGAAAATTACTGTAATAAGAACACAAAAATGAACTTTATTAATAGGAAGACAATAAGGTCTTTCAATTTTAAAAGTTCCCTATGCAGGCTGTGCCTAAAATCAAATAATTTACTTTTTTTATTAATTTATAAGAACTTACCTTTGAGAGTTTGAATAAAAGCCTCAACATCTGGGGCTTTGACCAACTGGATGTGCCATATGGGCCAATAGACGTCGCCACCAGAGGAATGGAAAGCCCATTGTCCCTTGGACAAGAACTTACCATGTGATCTCGTTTACCTTTCAAAAAAATACTACTTTTGTGATCTCGGTGAATTAAGAAAATTGTGGAAGTTACAATTTGAATGTGTAACTTAACGGAAAGGTTCAAAAAATTTTTGTACAATTGCTTGTTAAAATAAGATGGATGCTGCCTAAAAATTAAGTAAACATATTAATTTACTGAACAAGATAATGCAATTTGAAGTTTTTTTTTTAATGAATCGTTTATCTTTAAAGATATGTTAATATTAACTTAAGCAATACAGTATTTTCTTTTGTGCAAGATAAAACTAGTTAAGTGACCCGTAGAGGCAGCTCGATGTAACTCGGGACCTTAGGTGAAAATTAAAAAAGTGGCTTTTTTATATCATAATGTGCAATATATTAATTATTAAATAATAATTAATTAAAAAATCATTCTTTTTTGCTTTTTGAGATATAAACTTACTAATTAAATTCTTATATTCAAGTGTGGTTAAAATATCTTTTTCAATAGACAATATAGTCAATCCATTTAATATTTTTTGTGACATAGTTGATCGTACATATGATTTTATTGTGAATCAAGTCACTGGTATTTTTTTCTTTCACTATTGTATAATATTCTAATTCTTTTAGATGATTTGATTGTTTATTTGCTGAACTTTCATTTAAATTTTTTGTTAGGTTTTGATTATTAGTTGTAACAAATTTATCAATAGCTCCCTTTTTGAGATTGAATTAGTTTATCTATTCTTCTCGTTTTTTTAAAATTTTTCAAATCTGGATTCAGGATTCATACTTTCTAACATACATATTGAAAAATATGAGTAAAAATAGTCACTAGACTCACAACTCACAAAGAAATATACAAATATATGAAAAATATAGATATATACAAATTTATAATAACAAAAGTTAGTAAAACTGAAAAATAATTAAAGAAAAAAGAACAATATAACCCGATTTAGAAAGCCCCAATTCAATGCTGCTGCAAATTCTTCCATAAAAGGAAAGTGCGTTCAAATTGAGGTTTGAGACTAATAAATATTGAGTAGAGAAGAAAGAATATTGTAAAGTTGTAATGAGAGAGGATTGAGAAGGGAGATGACTTGTAACTTGTTGAGATTGCTGAGAAATGAGAGAAATCAAGATAAACATGAGGATTAGGAATAAGAAAAAATAAACAAATAAAATAAAAATTTAGAAAAGAGAATATGGAAAGTTTCTTCGTTTAAATATTTATGGTGCTGCAACTTACCTAAAAAAAAACGTGTATAAGATAAATAAAAAAAAAAAAAGGATGGTTAAAAAAAAAAAAAGGAGTTATTTTAGGAGATAAATTTTTTAGAATTTATCATATACAAGGCAACTATAATATTTTGAGGTATTTTTATTGGCTGGGAGGCTCGAGCCGCCCCTGCCCGTAGCCTTAGGCAATACCGAGTCCCTAGTCATTGACAAGAAACACACATTATACTCATACATCTATTTATTTATTTATTTAATTTTTTTTTTTTTTTGGAGAACTCTTATCATCTAATTTAGGAGGTATAGAAATTACTACTAAATCACAAGACAATTGGTACTTAATTTAAAAACATTGATTAGTTTCATTGACACTCCTTTAAATTTGGCCAAATATCAAATTGAAATAACTTTTGAAAATTATTATCATAAATGTGTGGTACGTTTTTCACTCAAACCCCAAACGACTTTAAAAATGGTTCAAATAACTTAAATACCCTTTGACTTTTAATTTATAAATTTATAATTATTCATTATATATATATATATATATATATATATATATATATATATAACACAATCTCCTCTCTTTTTCCAAGAACAATTCACGGAACCGCCGCCGCCATCAAAATCACTCCCTTCTCCACTGCCACCATCAGAAACACACCCACTACCAACCCCATTACCACCACCAACAACACTGGAGTCCTCCATTGCGTCTTTAAATATTGATTACCCAAAAAAAATTATATATATAAATAGGAATAATACATAGGTATGATCAGTGAATGTTCCTGCTAACTATTATTAAAGCCCAATTTTTCTTTAAGATCAGTGCACATCATGTATACATATTACATTCCTAATTGGTGACATGATCGACATATGAAAAGGCAAGTTGTTGGGCATTAATCAAATTTTTAGGCAATCCATCTTACTTAGGGATCGATGGAGCTTTGACATAAACTGACAATTTTCTTAATTCATAATCTAATGTGTATAAAAATAGATTACATGGTTATACATAAAAATAAAGGGTGAAGCGCAAAAAAACCCCTTGTAATATAGGTTTTGTGCACAAATAGTTACTACTTTTTTAAAATGTGTATTTTAATCCATAAAATTTTAAAAAATGTGTAAATAAGCCTCTGATCACTTTTTGGTCAAAATTGACAAAATAAATTTAAAATCTCTAATTTGCCCATTCCTATTCCTATTCTGCCTTTCTTCTCTCTTACGCCCCTCACCACAACCAGTGAGGTTGTTGACACGGAGGTCGGTGGCGCCACGACGGGAGTGGGGGCCTCCACTGCCGACTTAGTCAGAGAAGCAGTCGGTGAAAGCCTAAAAGGGTCTGCGTAGCAGTCGGAGCCTGAGCGAGAGCAGATCCAAACAGAACAGGTCATGTGTCGCCAAGTGTGAGCCGTCGCCAATACGGACGGTGAATATCACAGCGATCACGTCCATGATGACCAAGTCTAAGCGGCCGATGTTTATGTTCGGACTAGTGAAGTTCCATCCCCGAACGCGGCTGCTGAAAGGTGTCGATGGGGTTGGCCCTCACCGGAGTTGTCTGGGCTAGAAGGTTTGCTGTGGATGTCACCGAAGTTGATCAGTACCGTTCAGGAGACAAAAAGGTGGAGGATGACGAGTTTGAGTTTCCCCGTTGTCGCAGATCCACTGTGGCAATCGTTGTTTGGAGGGAATCTGTGGGTCGGAGCAGTGAAACAGAGATGACTTGTGGTCGAAGAAATCGGAGAGATCAGACCCACAACAGAATATCCAATTCTCGTTTGGTATGATCCGATTCTCGTTTGGTGGTTGTTGGCGATGGTGAAGGACGGCGAGCTCAGGACGCATGGTGGTGTATAGAAGAGGCAGGTGGCTGTTGGTGATTTTGCAATTTTTCTCTTCCTCTCTCATGTCTTATTTTTCTCTCTATACTATTGTACACACATTGTAATCTACCCACCCACCACTGCCATCTATTCACTCTGTCTCTCTACCCACCACCACCATCATCACCATCCTGCAAATCCCATTCACTACATACATATACACTGCTAGAAATCCAATTCAAAACTGTACTCGTTTTATGCAATCAATGGCATTTGAATCGGCGTGCTCGACTTGTGAGCTCTGCCTTATCTTCAACACACCAAAAAAGGCCTTTGGTAAAGGGGTTTGATTTAAGGGTTAATGGAGGGAGAAATTTAAAAAATAAAAATAAAAAATTGGCTGATTCATCTGCATGGCTTCTCTGTTTCCCTAACTAGTACCTCAGCTTTATTTTTATTTTTTTGAAATCTTAGAACTCATATTTGGGTGCCAAAGGACAGCCTTGTATGTATACCCATCATCCCACTTGATCCTTATTCTGCCCAAAACAACCATCTCCACCTTGTTAGAGTTCTCTCACAGACAAAGCTCAAAGCTGCCATAGCGCATAGTTATTTGAGAGAGAGAGCATGGGACATAATTGTCATTTTACATAGCCTATATTTTTTATATTAATTTATTCTACTGATACGAGGGCATTATAGTCATTTTAAGTCTCGAGGGGGTATTTGCACCAAATCGATAATATAGGGGGGTTTTACACTACACAGGAACTTATTTGCACTATATCGATAGTGGAGGGTTTTTTTTTTGCACTTGACTAGACCACTTCCAAAAGCAAAAATAGATGAGTTCAAGAGATCTCCTATTAAAAATATTTATTTTTTCCTCTATTAAAAATAGCTTAATAACTGATGAAAACAAATACAAACTCATAAATAAAAAGAAACATGGAACACATGCAACTTATCAGGGGAATCATAGGCGAGGACAACTAGCGAAAATTTCCAAGAGTATAAAAAAATTACAACCCGCTTGTTGTTTCACCTTCAACCTCGCCATTATTGAATTTAGGGCTTTCAATTTTTATTTATTTTTTTTCCAAAAGAGCATGAGATGTTGCTATTTTATAATTGGAGGAAATGGTGATTTGAATGGGTATTAGTGATTAGGGTGTGCATCAATGAGAAAAGAATAAGATGATGATGATGATGATGAAGTGAGTTTATAATGTGGATTGATTTTTTTTATTTTTTTATTTTAACCAAACTAAA